CGCTTGTATCTATATTGGCTTTAAATTTCCTAGATTTAGGAAAATTTGTCTAGTTCTGGCAACGCTGGTAAAAGTATGTTAGTGGACATATCTCTCTCTCTCTTACCGCTTGTATCTATATTGGCTTTAAATTTCCTAGATTTAGGAAAATTTGTCTAGTTCTGGCAACGCTGGTAAAAGTATGTTAGTGGACATATCTCTCTCTCTCTTACCGCTTGTATCTATATTGGCTTTAAATTTCCTAGATTTAGGAAAATTTGTCTAGTTCTGGCAACGCTGGTAAAAGTATGTTAGTGGACATATCTCTCTCTCTCTTACCGCTTGTATCTATATTGGCTTTAAATTTCCTAGATTTAGGAAAATTTGCCTAGTTCTGGCAACGTTGGTAAAAGTATGTTAGTGGACATTTCTCTCTCTCTCTTACCGCTTCTACCAAATTTTAAAAAAATTCGTAAATCATCAGTAAAATTCTATTTTTGACGTTCACTAGCTGATCCCTCTTCTGTGTAAACAAACAGTGTAATTGAAAAAGTAGAAAGCATACGAAAAATCAAACAAAAACGAACATAAAATAATTTTATTAAGCAGTAAATAAAAAAGTATTTTATCTATATACTAACAGAAAATAATCAAGGCATGCAAAGGGTGGGTAATGTGGTTTAAACAACTGGTACTAAATTTGATTAATTAATAACTTGAAGTTTGTGGTTTGAGTGCTTCGGGTGGTACGTTTATTAATAAATAATTTACCTAATCTCTACGGTGGAGCCCCAAGCTGATGCGAAACCCAGTTCTTGAATTTTAAACTTCTTGCTCACTTTCCAAGAGAGCAAAGTTTGATTATTAGCCACGGATCCTTTGCCGAAACTAATCAAGTTTTTGTCCCATATTAACCAGAATCTCTGCCATTCGTCTAAGGATAGGATTCCTGGAGTATTAACGCTTTTGAGGTGATTCTCATGATCTGAAATTTTAGTTTGTATTACTGAAATATTTTCTATATTTGTCCTTTGTAATCATAAACTTTAAATACTGATTGCTAATTAATTTTGGTGGTGAAAGGAATGAAATGTGAATTTTGGTAATCAATAAAATGATTTTAATTGGAGCTTTGAAACATTTTGCCAATTTAGATTGAAAGTAACCGATGGTAACTACTAATTACGTCAATTTCAACAGGAAACTGTTTGACGAGTTTCCTGGATAAAAAATTATTTACACTAGCGATGTTTTAAAATTTTGTTTTCACAAATACAATATAGAAACGTTTCACGAATATCTATCTCATCAATATTCAATTTATTGGCGATAACGTAAACGAGTTTATTAAATTTCATATGGTAAAATCATATAATGACATACTCCTATATTTATTTTTGTGTACGTATATGTAATATTTTGGGATTTTATTTTATAAATTATTAAAAAAGGTTAAATGTGTTCGAAAGGTGATGAGGATACCGTAGATAGAAAAATTTAGAAATGAGGACCCAGATTATGTTACTGCTCACAAATAATTAAGGACGTGATATGTTCTAGTGCTAGGTAAATGCGAAGATAAACTCATAATAGGAAAAAGTGGAGATGCGTGTCCAACCTTCAGCAGCATTATGAAATAATATGATATGAAAATAGATAAAATTAAAACAAATATACTGGTACAGATCGGAAGAAAAAGCAGGGAAAGAGCAAATATTAAAATAGGAAACGAAAAATTAGAAGAAGTCGTTAATTTTCGGTATCTAGGAAGTCAGACAATTCAAGACGGAAGGAGTAATAGAGATATAAAACGAAAGATAGCGCAGGGCCTAGTTACCTTCAACAAAAAGAATCACTTAAATGATAGAAGGCATAAAGGGCTAGTTAGAAACATATTAAAAGTAAAAATTGGAGTAAAGGGGAGTACAGGTAGATCTAGCTTAAGTTACTTTTTTATTTTTAGAGAAATCCGAAGATTGACTCAGGATAGGAAGGAGTGGAGTCTTGATGATGATGATGATGTTGAAATATGTTTATAGGTACATAACACTTTTGCTATAAGTATGGTTTATATAAAATTATTGTTGTTAAACAGTTGTAACCTAGAAAAAGGCAGAGTCGTACGGTTGTGATTTAAATTAAAAAAGAGACAGTTTAATTTCGAAATTTAAAGTACCTACTCTCCATATTTAAAAACTTTTATTGACATGAATCGGTTAGATGGTTTCAGCAATTCGTTACTCTCCAATTATAAAGCAATTTAGTGACGTTCTGAACCGTCTAAAGATGGGAAACCGTAGGGGATATTCTCAGCTAAAATACACACGCAGCCCACAGTGGTGTAATCTGGAAGTCCATTATTATTACTCACCAAATTTCCCCTTACTTATCCAAGTTATCCTGTTATCCTTGTCCCCTATGCTAATGCGATACATCCGATCCTTGGAGAAACGGCTCTCGGCCAGGGCCAAGTACAACGGCCCGATCTTGTTTGGGGTTGTCACTTTAGCTTCTAAAATTAAACCCGCCTTGTTACGGGTCGCCGGGATCCATTCGAATTTGTAATTATCAGCCGTTGATATTATCGTGTTTTCTACGAACAAATAATCACACGAAATATGACACAAGAGGCACCAATTTCTCAAGATAAAATATTACTATAGTTTCTTAATAATTTAGTTAGTTTTGTGGCGAGAATTTGCAATTTTCCAGTACAGGCGAATGGAGAACGGGATATAGGGATATTGGTAGTATTCGAATTACGGTATAAGAGCCCATTTTAAGTGGCATAAAGCTCATCATTGAGTTTTCCAACAAACGCAACTCCTCGCATAATCCAGGACTTTAGAAAGTACTGCTTTCTTACTTATCATAATTTCCTTTGTATATGTTACAGGAAATGTATGAAAATTGTATATAATTCCTAAAATCGCCCGGAAATGTGTGAAATAAATTATATTAGACACATTTCCTAAATAGCAATCGGAAATGTATTACAGGTAATACTAAATAGGCAATAATATGGCAGGCTATTTGGAGATGAATCTCTATCTATTGGTGACGTCATTGTTTGTTTAAGGAGATTTATGACAGACTGGAGTTTCCTCAATTCCCCTGCTGATGTTAGAATAATGTGACGAGATTATTTTTCTTTCAGCAAGCACGATTACCTTCAATTTTGAGTATGTTATAGAGATGATAATGCTGATCATTTTCCTATGTATATGTTGGACGCTGAGATCATAATGAAGCATACTTTTCTAAGACATTATTTCAACATACCAGCCCGCCTTCGGAGGGCAGGGACATTGAAGAAATTCCAGTCTGTCATAAATCTACCAAATCACTAATGTACAGTTTATTTCAATTTGTTAGAATTGTGACCTTGAAGAAATCTGCGCGAAGATAGAAAGAATGCACACTAGGTGTGAGCAAGACAGAAATAGTTGGAACAAGCTTGAACGAACAGAGTATTCGATGGGCGGTCTTAGGAGATCGGCCAGAATTGTACAGTACTAGACGAAAATGTTTAGCAATTTCTTAAAACAAAAATGTATATAAATTAACAATAGAAAACAAAGCAAAAGTTTTATAGGTGTGTAGAGCGTTAAGTTAATTCACTTGTTATTATTTTTGACTAGTATATTCTTAACGAGGCAGTTTAAATAATTTTGCAAATGGTACTGTACACTTTTGTCTAGTTCTCGCTCGATGATAGGTGGAGAAATGAGCTCCGCAGACAAACATGATTGAAATAATTCGAAGTGGTCTGTATTCTGTCAAAACTGCCAGACGCGGATCGCGATTTCGATCTTTTTGGATCTCATCAGCGCGTCGCAGACAGCTCNCCAGAAAGATGGCAAAAGGTGTTGGACCAGAACGGTCAATATATAATTTAATAAAGTATTTGTTTATTATACGAAAACTGTCTTTCATTTCTACAAAAAAAACGAAATGACTTTCTGAACAACCCTATAAAAAATGGATCAAAGAATCTGTATCAAATTTTTGGTGATACACAAAATTAAATGCACGGACGCATTCCGAATGTTGACTGTGTCATATGGTGAAGCTATCTTAGACCGAGCAACCTTTATCGATGGTACAAAATGTTCTCAGAGGGTTGAGAACATGTTAACGACGAAGAGCCTACCGGACGCCCAAACATGTGAACAGACGAAAACATTGATGAAGTAAAGGAAATAGTGTTGGCCAATTGTCGAATCACCGTAATAGAAGTTGCTGAGGACCTAAACATATTGATTGACTCCTGTCATTCAATTTTTACCAATGATTTGGTCATGGGATGGGTCGCCGCAAAATTCGTACCAAAATTGCTCAATTTTGGCCAAAAACAGTGTCGCATTAACATTGCGGTGACCTAAATTTACTCCAGAGGGTCATAACTACTTATGAATCACAGGTTTATGGTTACGACGTGGAAACAAACCTCAATCATCCCAATGAAGCTGTCGCACGAGCCAAGACCGCAAAATGCATCGAGTTAGGTCGAATGTGAAGGTTTTGCTTACAATTTTCTTCGATTGCAGGGTCGCCGTGCATCATGAGTTCTTGCCACAGGGTAGAATGGTCAATAAGGAATATTACCTGCATGTTATGGGCAGTTTACGCGAAGCAAACCTCCAGAAATATCCGGATTTGTGAAAAACAAATTGGCTTTTGTACTATGATAACGCCCCTGTTCACACAATGTTGATTGTGTGCGAATTTTTTGCCAAAAACAACACACTAATAATAACGCAGCCACTTTATTTCTCCGATCTGGCCACTTGTGACTTTTTCTTGTTCCCGGAACTGAGGAGACCCTTGAAAGGACGATGCTACGCTACGATTAAGGAGATAAACACGGCATGGAAGGATTAGCTGAACAAGATCACGAAAAATGATTTTTTGAAGTGCTTCGAGGATTGAAAAAAATGTTAGCACAAGTGTATAGTGTATTATATATAGTAGGGATTACTTTGAAGGGGGCAGAATAGATAAGTAACTTTTGAAAAAACACAAGTCTCATTACTTTTTGAACAGGCCCCGTATATACCATAGGCACATACTTAAAGCTTTGACTTAAAAAGGCCCTTTTTATAAAAATTTTCTTCTTAGTATTATGCTTTGAACTTTTGTGCCATTGCAGCTTTTGCGTGCATAGATGTATATTAACATAGCCCTTTCTATTTACGTACATAGCTACCTTTTTACTACACAAGGTATGCCGTAAAAGCAATAAAGGTCCTTTGTAATATTTTCTTTCTCGGCATGGTCGAAAATTTCCTATTTGAACTACTTTGTAAAAATTTATGACGTTTTCTCTGGAGGCGGCTGCAGTCACAATAAAATTTCCTTTGACTGAGCTCATACTGCGAATTATATTCTGTTCGACAACTGTTTTCGCTTTTTTTTTTGTTATTGTTCGTCGCGATGGAGTCTTTAAAAGTTACGATGACGGCCGAGGGCGGAAAGTTTCGATATTTGACCGAATTCTTACAAAATATGACACACAACTTTTTGTATCATCATCATATATATACTAAAGTGCTTATATACTAACCAGCTAATGTAGCGCACGTATGACTGTAATGGAAATCGGTGTAGCTATCTCTTCTAATGATATATCCTAGACTTAGACTAAATGCTATAGCGCGTAATCTTTAAACAACAAGAATTAATTTTGGCACAAATATTAAATTATATTATACCTAAATTAAACAAAAATCCTTTGCTACCTATATTAGCTCTAAATTCCCTAGATTTAGGAAAATTTGCCTAGTTCTGGCAACGCTGGTAAAAGTATGTTAGTGGACATATCTCTCTCTTTCTTACCGCTTGTATCTATATTGGCTTTAAATTTCCTAGATTTAGGAAAATTTGCCTAGTTCTGGCAACGCTGGTAAAAGTATGTTAGTGGACATTTCTCTCTCTCTCTTACCGCTTGTATCTATATTGGCTTTAAATTTCCTAGATTTAGGAAAATTTGCCTAGTTCTGGCAACGCTGGTAAAAGTATGTTAGTGGACATTTCTCTCTCT